ATATATATATATATATATATATGAGACAAAAAATTTTAACTAAACAAAAATTTGAAATGTTGCCTTGCCAAATAAATGAAATGACTAGCAACTAACTGAAATACCTAAGTTGAAATAACAATAAATTAAATAGTACCTAAATAGTAATTTTAACAAAATAATAATAATAAAAATGACAAAACAAAATGACTAAAAATGAAAGTAGGGTGTATACTGCAAGTAAGGTTATTATCATGAACTAAAACTATTAAAAACAATGTTTTTTAATTGAAGTAAAGCTATAAATAAAATATGAATATTAGATGAAAAACTTAAACTAAATGTAATTAGTTGCCTTGGCAACTAACTGAAATGACTGGCAACAAACTGAAATAACTTTAAGTTGAAGCATTAAAATTACTAACTGAAAAAAAAAAGCTAAAGCTGAAATGAAAATAAATGAAACCTAAATAATATTAAAACAAACAAAAACTAATAAAAATGACAAAAGCACATAACAAAATGACTAAAAATTTAACAAAAATTAACTCTAAAATTATAATAAAAAATGTATTAAAGAAATGAAAAATTATAAATATGAAAACTATACTAGTATATAAAAATACTAAAATAACACTCTTTAAAACTGATTGTAATAATTGATAACAGATAAAGGACAGGTAAGTCTGCTTAGGCTGATTCATTTTGTTAGTCAATATAAGGTATACATCTGCTAATTATGTTCCTCAGAGTCGTTTCCTTTTTTATTAAATCTAAAATAAAACTATGGAATGTGATTCATGCGAGACATAAAATGTCACACATGCTGGGCACATTTCTAAAATCCAGGAGAACCATGGCTGTAAACTTTCATTCGAAATCGTATGAATTTTGCTACATAGTTAAATGTCATTCAATCTTTTCAAAGCTTTGGCCAAAACAAGAAAAGAACAGACAAAAGACGTTCTACTCTCAGAATGATACAAGCAGGTGTTGCAATAAAAGACCTAACTGACAGTTTCTTTCATCCAGTCTCAAGAGCCAAATGGGAGCATGCATGTTTGAACTACTTACAGAGCCATGTGCTAAAATAAATCGTCTGATCTCCTCACTTTGCTGAATAATTCTTTCGACACAATCATTTGCACAAATTAATCTACTGAAATGAGCGGTCACAAACTCACCTCTTTCCCTGCCAGCAATGATGGGGCGCCGTCTCACCACTTCCCCCATGCCGCATATGTTTTCTGGCTAGCTTAAAGAGCTGACAGCAAAATCAGCAGCAAGAGTGCTCAAGGAGGTCCAGGAAAGGTTGAAGTTTCAGTTTAGACACACTGGAGAGATACAACTGCGGCCTGAATTATGAATGACTCTTACAAGCGCAAGAAACCTTATCCTTGTCCAGGCTAGAAGAACATCCATCTCAATATCTTTACGCATTACAGATTTCCAAACATCCATCACAGACTACAAAGGACAACTACAGTTACACCTTGGCAACTTGTCTGTAAACGGCAGCTAATGAACTAATTACATAATGTGAAATAGACAGTCAACAACTATTTGGAATGACTACTGTTTATATTGTAGGATAACTTCATTCTTTTGAGAGAACATGATTATATATTAATAGCCACCTCAAATGTAAATACTGAGAGATATTCTGTACTTCATTTCATCAACTTGTGATATAATTTTTTTTTATCACATTCATATTTGTAGAGTAACTTTTAGCTATAGAATGGACCATGAGAAAAAAAAGTATATAAAATCATAAAAATTCAATGTCTTTTCCATGACCTTTTGTAATGTTATTTATTTTATAAATTAATTTTTATGTAAAAATTACATTTGAAAATTTACTAGACCTGGAAATCACGCTTTAAAAAAATTCCTGATACTTCTAGGAGCGTGGAAACTCTCTAAAATATGAATTATTAAATGTATTTAAGTATGAATGTGGTGAAAAAGTTAATGGAATGAGGTACAGAATATTTTCCCATGTTCCTAGTAAAATGTAATTTTTTTATAATAAATAACAATTAAAAAAGTCATGGAAAACCCATATATATATA